TTAACTGCTCTAGGGCTTGTGAAACCTCCACAAGACTTTGATGAACCCTGTCATTGTTAGCAGTCTCGGATGCCTTATTTTATTGGCTGGTGATGGCTGGAGCTGTGGGCTTAGGACAGCTCCTCCCATATGGAAGGATTTCTGCTGGACCTTCATTCAGGAGGAGAAAGTCACAAGAAGATGACCCAAGATGGCCATCTTGGCAATGAGGGTTCTTCATGGAGATGTAAAATAGACCATCAGAAGCAAACCAGTGATGGCCTGGGCCTGAAGTGGGAACAAAGATTCACACAAACAGGGACCCTTCGGAGGCTGAGGGTAGTGTTCTACAACTGGAGTGAAATGATGGTTGTACAACTGTATGAATTTACTAAAAATCGTTGACTATTTTATAATATACAAATTATATCCCAGTAAAGCTGTTTAAAAATAGAAATGTGGGAGTCTGGCAGGGGCCATGGTAGTTAAGGTGCTGAACTCCTACGTGGCCAACTGCAGTTCAAGTTCCAGACCTGGTGGCTTGCTTTCTCACTTTCCTTTTCTCTTTTTCTCTCTGTCTCTCTCTGGTCAAATAAAAAAATCATAACAAACAAAGGTAAATAGATAACTTTAAAAGATAAAAGTGTTTCATTTTGTTTAATTTCAAAATGTGAAAAAATAGAAATGTGATCTCTTTTTCATTTCCAGAGGAGGTGTGCATTTGCTAAAGAGAAACAGAGAACAATGAAGAGTGAGTAAGCGGCCATACTGTAATCCGTTCTCCTCCATTTCTCCATCCTGTTGAGATTTACAGCATGTATGCACATGTGCCCAGTGTGCTTTTCAAGCCACTTGGGCTAGGATTCAAAATATGGCTGTCTATGTGGTATCCAGCTTGCTTAACTATAAGATCATGGGACCAGACCACGGAGAAACAGAGAACAATGAAGAGTGAGTAAGCGGCCATACTGTAATCCGTTCTCCTCCATTTCTCCATCCTGTTGAGATTTACAGCATGTATGCACATGTGCCCAGTGTGCTTTTCAAGCCACTTGGGCTAGGATTCAAAATATGGCTGTCTATGTGGTATCCAGCTTGCTTAACTATAAGATCATGGGACCAGACCACGAATGTGACACTTTTCAAGCCACTTGGGCTAGGATTCAAAATGTGGCTGCCTATGTGGTATCCAGCTTGCTTAACTATGAGGCCATGGGACCAGACCACAAATGTGACATTTGTAAAAACAAAGACAAGGGACCAGCAGATGGCATGTCATTGGACTCCCACGTAGTCAACTGTGGTTCAAGTCCTGGATTTAGTGGCTTAAAACTCATGCTAAGCACATGTGCATGTGTGCCCAAGATCCCAAGAGGAGAATAAAGGAGAAGGGTTTGTGGTGTGGCCATCCCCCCAGGGGGCGAATTCTGGCTTTCTGTCTCTCTGTCTCTCTAGTGAACACACATGCCCTATAACAACAACAACAACAACAAAACTCTCTCTCTAAAAAAAAGACAAAATTGAGCTGTAAATTTAAAATGTGTTCTCTTCACCGCGTTTGTTTTACTTTAATAAAAAGATATAACCAAAGAGTGCATGAAGATCCAAAGGTGCTACGATCTGAAAGGAAAAAGTCTTATTTTGCAAGGTTTTTGGAAGGGTCTAGTAGATACGTGAAGGTGCTGGGACAGAGACACATAAAATCTTAGCATTGTAATGGCTACTAAGGACTCAGAGTGGAAACACCATGTCCAAGTTTTACACTCCCAAAAAATAAGAAGATCTGTTTCCCAGTTACTGTCATCTCCCAAACTGAACACAAAGCTACTACCAAATGTATTTAGAAGGCCAAGGGTCCCAGGGCCAGCCATGATGGTGCAGCTGTAATGCAAAGCTCTGTAATACTGAATCCACATGGGAAGTCCCCGGTTCACATGCCAAGGTCTACCTGTACACACCATGTGTGTAGGTACATGCCTGTGATCTGAGCTGGCTGGAGCTGGGGGTGAATTACAATTTGAAGGCCCATTGGGGCAGAAGAAGCTGCCAAGTCTGGGACTTGAACCATGGTTGGCCATGTGGGAGTCCAGTGCCCTTAATCACTACGCCACCTGCCAGACCCCCACCTCCCCAATTTATAGAACAAGAAAATGAGGCTCAGAGTGGAGCTCTTACTGCACTATGCTGCCAACGGAAATTACATCCTAGTTTAGGAACAGGAAAAATGAGACCCAGAGAGGAGGCGTATTTGTCTAAGATCACAAGCTCATGAATGACAAGAGAAGTAAGGACTCATGGTCTTTTTTGTCTGTTTGTTTGTTCATTTCTTTATTATTTCTTCTTCTTCTGCCTGCAGGAGGTGTGGAAGTTAGGGCGGCTGGATCCCACATGACCGACTGAGCGGTCTGAGTCTTAAGACTTAGAAGGAGGGAGTGTGGCATCCCCGTCCTCCTTGGGAGGTGATTTCTCACTTTCCCTCTTTCGCAATTTTTCTCTGTCTCTTTGGCAAGCACACACTCCCTATAGCAAAAACTAAAATTAAAAAAAAAGAGAAAGGAAAAAGATAACTAAAGGAAAAGACATCAAGTCATACTTGACATTACTGAACAATGAAACATGCTTTCAGCATTGGCTGGTTAGCTGTGTCTATTACCAGGTGCTTTGGGTGCGTTGTGCGTGTGCCAAATTATGATCGGGTATAAGGGCATATTGTTTTTTCTATAAAAAAAAACAAACAAATAAAAACTTGTTTGAGGACTTGTGTGCTCTCCAGAGAGAAACAGGGAAGAGGAGGTGAGAAATTCCCCCCTATGGGGGATGGTCACACTGTGATCCTTTCTCTTCCATTTCTATTTGCTTTTGAGATTTGGGGCAGGCACACACATGTGCCCAGTATGTTTTTCAATGGGGTCCCAGGTCTGAAACTCGGACTGTGTATTCAACCATGTGGGATCCAGCTGCCTTAACCACCATGCCATGGACTGACTAAGGGCTTGTTTTCAACCAAGCAGAACCCTGGACAGTACTGGCTCCACGTTTAGGAGCTCAACCATACAGCAGGCTCCTTAAGGGAGGCCTCAGGGCAAGGAGCAAGGGCTCAAAAAGTGGTTGTTGTTAAAAACAATTCAGAGTAATGAATGTAAATTAATTAGAAAAAAAGTTTCAGGAGAAAAAAAACACTAAAACTGTTCATATCAAAATTAAAAATTTAAAAAAAAAACCACGTATTTGATGACTGCAGTAAGCTATATAGCCCCAGCTAGGCACTACTTTATAATATGTTCATTCTACTCACTGAGATTTATGCCTAAAGTCTGACTTGTGTTCATGTATATGTATATATCAGCTGCACTTGATATTGCAAATATTTAGACTAAGTTCATTAGCAAATCAATTAAATGGGGGAGGGGGGAGGCATAGAAAGCAACCATGGATACCAGAGACAATGTGGGAGGAGGGTAGGACACAGTGGAGGGTGAGGGATAGGGAATCAAGGATGGAAAAAAAAAAAGGCAAAATATACAAGACATAAGAAATGGAAAATTATTTGTTGATAACACATATGTAGATATGCTTGATTGAGCCAATATATAGTGTATTTTGGATGGAAAATTCATTTTGTATGCTGTAATGATGTATAGTGAATTAATGTAAAAAAAATAAATTTAAAGAAAAGGAAAAAATTGTTCAATTTTATAAAAAAAAAATTCAGAGAAGGGAGGATTTTAGTTTTGCTGTGCAGTGTCTTCAAGTGTTTGAATTAGTTACTAAGACCATATAATTACAACAGAAAAAAATTTGTTAGAAGTTATTATTATGAGTTTTTTACTATTTTTTTTTAACTTGTAGAGGGTATGTGTACTCATCAGAGAGACACAGAAGAAGAGAGAGAGAAAGCACCCTCAATGAGTGGTCATACCACAATCTCTTCTGCATTTCTCCATCCTGTTGGGATTTTGGACACACATGCACATGCACCCAGAATATTTTTCAAGCTGCCAGGGTTGGGATTTGAACCATGTAGTATACCATGTGGAATTTAGCTCCCTCAACCCCCAGGCCAGGCGGCTCCCCCTTAACCTCACTTCTATGAGGTCAGATGTCCTGGATTTGGGGGAGATCAGAAGAAAAAGTTATCCCATACAGAAGGGACAGGGTTTCCTCTGAGCAGCTTTTCTCTCCTGTGTCTTTCTCATTATCCAGTAGGTGTTGGTGATGGCTGTCAGAGTTGGGAATGAGATGGGAAGGTTAACTGAGTGCTAATCCCCAGGCTGGCATTTAATGGCCTTGGGAGCAGTTCATCTACATAGGCCGGGGCAGGGGCATGACTAGCCCAGGTTATCACAACTCTGTTGATCTGTGTGTCATCTGAATACAGGGGAAGAGCAGATGGGACAGCCATAATGTAGGAATGGCCATGCTCTGCCGTAGCCCTGACGAAATGGCATGATGTCTGGTGAGTCATTAAGTCATTTCCCAAGTAAGGACCGTACCTGGACACACACTCAGAAATTGATAAAGCCTGAGCTGTGGACAGCAAGAAGTTTGTCCCTAGCAGTGGAGCTGGTGGAGTTGTATATCTCAAACAATTGGCAGACCTGATTCCTGACCTAAGACTACTGATTCTTATTTGTTGATTTTTTAAATCTGGAAACAGTACTGAATTTTTTAAAGAGGTTTTTGCCTTAGGACATGTGTGCTTGCCAGAGAGAGAGACAGAGAGAGTGAGAAAGAAAGTGAGAAATTACTCCCCCACCCCCCAAAGGGGATGGCCACTCTGCAATCCTTTCTCCTCCATTCTCCTCTTGGGAGTTTAGGTACACACACACACACACACGCCTAGCATGAGCAGCTGGGTCCTGGACTGGAAATGTGGTCAGTCATATTGGAGTCCAGCACCGTAACTGCTAAGCCACCCACTGGCCCCATCCTTCTATTTCTTTATATAAAACATCGCTTTCATGAAGGTTATAGCTCATCATTCAGAATTAGCAAGTTTAAAACAGGCTCACACATTAGAATGGTTTTATGTTTCTTTTAATTGCCATTTGCTGTTGATGACAGAGTGATTTTTTTTTACTTTCGGTCCTCAACTGCTAGAATCTACAGTTAGCTTCTGTTGTCCCCTACAGATGGCACGTGCTGACACTCGATTGGTCACTGCTCAGCTGTCATGGACCTGCTGTCACTAGAACTGCAGAATGTGCCTAACAAGCTCGATGTAGTGGCTATCCGGGGCTGGCTTCCTCTGACTCCCAGGCTGTAGGAACTTCTTAATGGTAGGAATGTTGCTGATTCTTGTTTTAAATGCCTGGAATGAGAAGCAGTACAATCACAGCCTCAGTTATAGTCACAAGCTTAAAAAAAACAAAACAAAACAAAACAACACAAAAAACAGAACTTTGCCCTAAGAGAAGCACACTTGGAGCTTTAGTTTGTGGAGCCCAGTGTGTTGATTCCAAGTTAATCCCGCAATATGTATTTGCTGAATGTTCCTGGGAAGGATAATATACCTGCTGGCACATTAGGTATGAGTTAAATTATCTTACTTAAAAATCATTATCACGATCAGGCAGCATACATCAAAAACCCTAAAATATCCGTACTTTGACCTAGGAATTTATTAGAATGTCAGTAAAAGTATGAACAAAGAATTGATTTAAAAATGTTAACACAGACCAAGCATCAGTGCTGCCAGCTGCTGAGACACTGCATTGCAAGCTACGACTACGTGGGAGGCCTGGGTTCAACACCTGGTCCAGCCTAAACGCCAGGCACGGTGGCATTTGCCTGAAATCCCACCAAGTCAGGGAGCCTGAGGCAGGAGGCTGGTGAGCTCAAGGCTGGCCTAGGCAACTAACTTAGTGAGAGCCTGTCTAAAAAAGTGCTGGGCACTGGTGGCATATTCCAGAGTTCCCAGCTAGGAGGCTGAGATAGGAGGACTGCAAAAGAAGAGAAAATAATCATTATAATTTTATAAAGATTTATTTATTTAATTGTACTTATTATTTTTTGCCTGACATTCTGAGTTTTTTCTTTTATTTTTTCCAGTTAAAGATATTTTTATACACATTATCATCAGCCTTTTTATACATAGAGATCATATCTTGATCTTAATGACTACATAAATTTGATTTATGATGATACCATAATATTAATCAACAATATTGATTAACAAGTCAATATTGGTCAATATTAGTCAACTATCAATAATATCCTTGACGAATAGTCATTCATAGTTTTTTTTCCATATTTTATTGATTCACAAAAGATCTTAAGTAATCTAAATACTTTCAATAGCAAGTACAGTGAATATAAACATATATGTGAACACATGTCTGACATTAGGCATAAAATTCAGTGAGTAGGATGAAAATACTATAAAGTAGCACCTAGCTGAGGCTATATAGCTTACTGTGGTTATAAAATAGTTATAGTTTTTTTATTCCATATTTTATTGATTCACAAAAGATCTTAAGTAATCTAAATACTTTCAATAGCAAGTACAGTGAATATAAACATATATGTGAACACATGTCTGACATTAGGCATAAAATTCAGTGAGTAGGATGAAAATACTATAAAGTAGCACCTAGCTGAGGCTATATAGCTTACTGTGGTTATAAAATAGTTATAGTTTTTTTAATTTTTTTTTAATTTCAAGAAAAGCAGCTTTAGCTTTTATAAGTCAAAATCCAACAATGTTAAGAAAAATTTGCTTAAGACTTAAAGCCAGGTAAAAGGTTAGGATTCTGTTCAAACAGTAGGTAGATACTAAAAACTCAAAAAAACAAATATAGACAAAGGTAAAATCTAGCAATAAGAGCACTGTAATTTTCTTCTGAAACATTTTTTTCCTCTCTCCATTCCTCCCTTTTACCAAAGAGGCATAAATTCATTTATTTGTAAAAAAATAAATAAATTTAGACTCGATTTGATCTGTTATTTGCCCAAAGCCCCATAAGAATACTAATTGATTTAGCTGGCTTTACTGGAAACTTTTTTAAGGAGCTCCAGATTAGACTCTTTAAAAAGCCTCCACAGTTACTGAGCCAAGTCAGGAGACTCACTGTCTGACTGTGCCATTAAGTATCTGTATTGAAAGTTTTTTGGGCCTGTTAGGAAATGACATTCTTTACTTATCTGCAGGGCAGAACTGTTTATGGTACCAGGCAATCTTTCCAGGAGCTTCTGGTGGCTTTCTTGAGATCTACCTTAGTTCCTTAGATTTCTAGTCATATCTTCAGAAATGACATTCCAGACAAAGCCCTAGCAATAACCGGTATTTCAAATTTCTGGTGCAAAGCAACAGATATTATTGAACTTACGCAAATAACCATTCTGCCACAAAATAAGAATACCCACAAATATTTTCCAATTCCAGAGGGGTTGGGAAGGGAGAAAATTCTATGTTTCAATTTCAAAAAAAAAAAAAAAAATGTAGCAAATTGCTGAAGCTATCAATAGCTCAAAAGAAGATAAAAATCCTTAAATCTATAAAACAAAGCATAGGAGAAAATCAGTAATGTTTTAGTCAAAAGTCATAAAATTCTATTTTTGCACTACAGTCTCATGTGATTAATCTCTCTTCTGTTGAATTTGCAGTTACTGTGGTCTGATCTTTCTGTTTAAATTCTGGAAGTTAACATTCAATGTTACTGATCTTTCCAAACACATCCCTACTATTAAGTTGGCTATTTTCTTGGTTGTTTTTTGTTCTTTTACTTCTGTGTCTGTCTTTAGTTTTCCTGGTATAGCACTCCCTTCAGTACTTCTTGAAGAGCTGGTCTGGTGTTAGTAAATTCTTTCAGGCCTTGTTTATCTGAGAATGTTTTTATCTTTTCTTCCCATATGAAGGATAGTCTTGCCAGGTATAATATTCTTGGTTGAAATTGTTTTTCACTTAACACTTTGAATATATTTTCCCATTCTTTCCTTGTTGGCACTGTTTATAATGAGAGGTCTGCTGTCAGCCTGATGGGATAACCTTCGTAAGTCACTTAACATTTCTCTCTTGCCAATTTTAGTATCTTTATCTGTGGTTTTGGTCAATCTGTCTATGATGTGCCTTGGAAAGGATCCTCTTGGGTGATTCTATTTGAGGTCCTTTGTATTTCTTGAGTCTGGATATTTGAATACCTCTCTAGGTCTGGAAAATTTTCTTTCAGAATTTCATGGAATAGATTATCAATACCTTTATTAGTTTCTTCACCTTCTGGGATATCAATTAACCAGATGTTTGGGCATTTAATGGTATCTAGTATTTCTCATGTAGTATTCTCATTTTGGGGGGTTATATTCTCAATCATTTTGGTGCTTTTTTTCTAGGCCAGAGGTTTTATGTTCTACATCTGAGATTCGACCTTCTTCATGATCTAATCTGCTTTTAATACTTTCAAGGGAAGTTTTGATTTCCTGTATTACAGCCTTCAACTCTAAATGACATTTGATTCTTTTTTATGGTGTGTATTTCTTCCTGCAGGTTGTGGAAGACCTTCCTTACCACCTGGAACTCATTGTCCCTTTTCTTTTGCATATTCTGGAGTTCATTGTCTCTCTTCTTTTGCATCTCTGTTAGTTTAGTCACTATGAATATTCTGAATTCTTTATCTGACATTGAACTGTCTGTGGATGGTGAGGGGTTGTCCTTTTCCCTTGAGGGAGAGATATTTTCTTGGTTTCTTATATTTATTGCACCTCTGCAGTGGTTTCTGGTCATCCAACATATAATACGTTTCTGTAGTCCTCCCCAAGTGGCTGCAGGAGGATGGCGATGTGGTGAGACCCGGTCAAAAATACCTATCTCTGGGACCAGCAGGTGACGTAGTGGTTAAGGCGTTGGACTCCCATGGTTTGAGTCCCAAACACAGTGGCTTAAAACAGTGCATGCACGTGTATGCACAAAATCCGGAACACAGTGGCTTAAAACAGTGCATGCACGTGTGTGCACAAAATCCGGAGAGGAGACAGGATTGTGGTGTGGCCATCCCTCCAGAGAGTAATTTCTCACTTTCTGTCTCCTCATGTCTCTCGTGCACATACCCTCGTCACTTTCTGTCTCCTCATGTCTCTCGTGCACGTGCCCTAGAGCAAACATCTAAAAAAAAAAAAAAAAAACACAAAAAACACAACCTATCTCTGTCGTTCTCCCTTTCTCTCTCTTTCTCTCATCAAGGGAAAACAACAACAACAACAACATCTATCACTCCCTCCCACACACGTGTGAGCTCTCTGTCTCTCGCAGAAAAAAAAAAAAGAAGTGATCTTATACTACAAAACTCATGATCACCTATTAGATAAAATGTTTCTAGGGAAAGGAGCAGAGCCTGCAAGGTCCAGCAGAGACTGAATTCTGCCTGCGGGCTGGGGCCATGAATGCCACAGGTGTCAGCAGAGCACCCACGCAAGAACTCTGCGCAGTGGAGGGACTGAGTAGGCGCTCTAGCTTGGCAGGCTAGAAGTGGGCAGGTTGGTTTGGCAGGAGCTGCAGCAGGAAGGAACAAAGGCATACTTCTCAGCCTTTCTTGGTCAGAAAAAAAAGCTCAACGTGATAAAACTAAAGAAAGAAATGGAAACGTACTGAACGTACTCAGTGTCCATGCTTGACATCAAAATAATCTACTTCTCCCTTCATCAGGCTTCACTTTCTAACAGGGCCCCTTAGTGTAAGCAAGAGAAAATAACCAGAATGAATAACGTAATTATTGTAACAAAAATGTTCCTAAGTTTGCGATTGACCAGGAGACACCTTTTGATTTGGTGTGGCCCTCCCGTGGCTGTCAATACACTACCTTTAGCAGAGGGAAGTCACAAAGGACAGAGGCATTGAGTTCTTCCACCATTAAAATAGCTTCTAACAGTTGTATGTCAGCCCAGCTGAATTTGTTGCCAACAAGAAAATCCTCTCCATGGTCTTTCAAAATCTACAAAAAAGAAAAATAACAAAGTATTTTAAATGAAAGTAAGGGTAATTTTGTTTAGCTAAGCACTCACAAAAGCATGAAATCTTTTGCATGGATCAGAGTAACTGAAGAATCTTTTTCTTGCTAATCTACAATGCCGTCAAAGATGAAACCAACTCTCTGAAACATGCTATAAACTGGCACAACCCTTTCGAAAATCTGTCAGTGATTATCCAGGTCCCTTGAGTTTCTGTTACAAGCTTGGAGTTAGGATTCAAACCATAGTCAGCCATGTAGGCTCTAGCTCCTTCAACCACTGAAGTATAGGGTCAGGCCTCCTATTAATTATTTTTAATGGAAAATAATTCAACAACACTGTACATTATCCAAGGTAAACAGAAATTTTTTCATTTAGTATTCTGAAGTGCTGATGGAATTCTTTATTATAGTTTGGTCAATAATAAATTATCCTTTCCCAAAGCTGACACTGATGTTGTACGCCACAGAATGCTTTTGTTCAGCAAAACCTTTATTTATTTGCACTCACAGGTTTTCCTCACCATTTCCCCTGCTGTCCTCTAGGTTGAAACTTCACCCAATATATTGGAAGGACATTTGTCACTAATGTTTACTCTAAAATGACTTCATACTGGTTGTAAATTTAAAACTTTTGGCTTCTTTTTGGGGGGAGGGGAGGGTTGCCATAGGGCATGTGTGCTCTCTGGAGAGAGTCAGAGAGAAGGAAAGTGAGAAATCACCACCACCACTCACCCCACCCCCCCTAGAGAAGAATGGCCATGCCACAGTTCTTTCTCCTCCATTCTCCTCCTGGAACAGTGGACATACATGCACATGTGACTGGCATGACTGTCAAGTCACCAGGTCCAGGACTTGGACTACGACGGACCATGTGGAAATCCAGTGCCTTAACTATCATGCCACCTACTAGCCCCAATAATTTCTTCAAATGCCAGAAGTTAGATGACTGGCCAGAGATAGAGAAGAAGAGGGAGAAAGCACCTCTCAGTGGGACGTGGCCATGCCAACAATCTCCTCCTACATTTCTCTATCCTGTCACATACCATTAAGGTACACAAATGCCATCACTGGCATGCTTTTCAAGCCACTGAACCAAGATTTGAATCGTGGTCAAGCATGTGGAATTGGATCCATTAACTACTAGGCCACAGACTGACCCTCCATATTGCTTTTTGATTGAGGCATGATTCATCCCCAGTACTAAAACCTAAACATGTGGTCACACCTTGAGCTGATGTTTTATTTCTAAAATGTTGGGTACTTTCATTGTACTTGGTTTATTCCAATTCCATTTTGTTGGAGGCACCATAATGTTACCTGCTGTTTGTTCTAGAATATTAAAGTTTTGATCCAAAAGCAGTAAAATTTAAACACGGCCTCTGTCTTTTCAGATACTGACTCAGAATATTTTCCTTGTCATTCGCGTGTGGAAGTGCTATGGATTTTTGGGTGTTGATTTTGTGTCCTGACACTTTCCTATATTCATTTATTGCTTTGAGAAGTTTTTCCATGGAGACCTTTGGGTCTTCTGGGTGTACCATCATGTCATCTGCAAATAGAGATATTTTCATCTCAAAAAAAAAAAAAAAAAAAAAAAAAAACAATA